AGTGGGGTACAGCACCTTACATTGAGAGTGGCCAGTCACCTTTAGAAATCATGACCTGTAACCTTTGGCTAAGCGCAGCTCAACAGGGCAGTCTACCACTTGGAAGCCGTTGTGACCTTTGAAAAAGGCACTTAGCCTCTCTGAACCACGTCACTTCACCCCCGTTGCCACCGCCCCTCCTCCAAGTGGCTCTTTCTAATTTTCAGCCTCTCGAGTTTCTCCTTGCTCCAACCCTGCCAGTAGGCAGCCAGTCCTATTGAAAATCTCATTCACACTCAAGAAGGCTACAAATTGGGTCACTCAGCAGGTGTCCGTCCTGCTAGCAGCGGGCGGTGCGGGACCTGCTTGCACCGGGGAGTGTTAAAAGAGAGGGCATGCGGAGTTGACAAGACGAAAGGAGGGGGTGGAGCCTCTCCTCATATGCCCTCCGCATCCAGGGGTGGCACGGGGATGAGGATTCAATCTTGTGTTCACAGAAGCCAAACTTTAGGAAGGGGAAGAAAGTGAGGTATATCTCTCGTCTGAGAGCTGGATAAGACTCACCCTATGGGTGTGAAGCACAGCCCTAGCTCTGAAATCAAACTCCTCCAGTTCAAGCCTCCTTCCTCTGCTTTCATGCTGTGTGACTTCGAGATAGGCACTTGCCATCTCCGAGCTTCAGATGTAACTGATCCCATCTACCTATCTGGGTGGTTATGATAATTAGGCAAGGGGTGGGGTTCCATACAACGGGATGGCATTTGGGTTTTTCTCTTCACCAGCCTCAGTCAGTGGTCTTTTACTTTGAAGCCGGAATAAGTGAGAACCACATCTTTCTACGAGCCTCCTTGCCATGTAGTTTTATCAGTTCATTTAATATTAATCTTCCCCATCCCTAAGGCAACATCTTGTCTGTTTCAAGCCAATCGATACATAATAAAAACATTCATATATAATGTTTGATCAAACCTCTCATTTTAAGAACACAAATCAAGGTTTAGACAGGTGACAACTTGCCTCTTAAGTTACTTGGCAAAATAGACAATTCTTTACTAAGATAAGGTGACGTTTTAGGAGCTCTACAACACAAAGGGGTCAGAACCTCTGGTAAGATCACCGACCGGACGTTTGCTTTAATACACAGGGCTGCAGCGCCCTCTGCTGGTCTCTGGGTACAAGCTCTTCAGCGGCCGTTCTCGGTGGTCTAGGTCAAAGACTCCAGGCCAAGCTTGATAAGTCAAACTACCAAATGTCGGTAGTTTTCCAAGCTCTCCAGGATCACACGGAACTGAGGACTACTGATTTAAGGATTAATTTTATATGTGAAGAAGATGTGGCTTAGCAAGCAACAATGGGGAAGAAAATTCTCCAGATGGAAACCCCCCAGTCTTGCATAATCAAAAGTAAAGTGCAGTATTAACCCAGGCCTGAGCGCTGCACCTTCGCAGGAGCTGGGAGAATATAATGGCACCACAAATGTCTAGGTCCAAAGTCCGGCTCAGCCACCGTTGAGTTTGAAGTGCTGTTGGAAGGGGAAGCCCTGTGAGCAACGTCAGTGAATGATTTGCATGAGCACCCTTGAACTTGGTGCGGCTGCTGCATCACTAAGCGGCCTGTTAGCTTGGAGACAGGTTGCCGGGCTGGGTGTGTGGCTCAGTGGTGAAGGTAATATGTGCTAAGGCCCCGTGTTCTATCCATGGCGACACTCACAAATTGCTAGGTCCCACCCCCTTGTTTCTCATTCGGTGAGTCCAACCACTTCCCAGGTAATGCCCGGGGCGTGTAAAGAACCACCACCCTGAAAGCCTATCAATCAGATGAGCATCCCCTTTCAGAGCTGCACCCAGTTCAGCACCAAGGGCATCCCCACGGCACCTGCAGCTGTCCTCAGAATGGGGACACATGGCAGGCAGGACAGCACATTGTGCATAAGAATTTGCAAAAGCAAAGTATCAATTCTCGACAGGTGGGGATAGCCCCACGCCTTTAATCCCAGCACTCGGGAGGCAGAGGCCGGCAGAACTATAGTTCCAGGACAGTCAGGGTTACACAGAGAAACAGTTTTAATGGAAAATAAACAAACCAAAACAACAACAACAACAACAACAACAATCAAGTCTTACATCCCAAATGCTTCCCTTCACCCACTTGCACAAAACAAAAACGGTAACCTTGAACTTCTGATCCTCCTGCCTCCACCTCCCAAGTGCTGTGACAGCAGAGGTTCACCACCGCACCTGGTTTACGTGGTGTGGCAATCAAACTGTGCTTCCTGATTGAAAGGATGGAGAGGGAGGGGTCCCTAGCAGTGGGATTTGAGCAGAGCCCAACTCACAAAGTTTCTGTTCTGGAAAAGCCCCGATCCTTTTGGATGGAGCAGATGTTTTCATTCCAGGGTTGGGAAAGTGAACGCAGAGGCCTCCCTTGGGAAGTGAGGATGAGTCCTGCCATCCACAGTCAAAACCACAACTGTCCCGAATGTCTGGAACCTCCATTTTTTCTGTTTGCTAATATTTCTGTCATAAACCTAAGTAGTTACAAAGGATGTACAGAAATATTGACATCTTAAAAACAATTTTAGGCCAGCATGATTGCTCCGCTGGTAAACGAGTTTGATGACATACGTGACAACCCAAGTTCAACACCCAGGACCCTCATGATAGAAGGAGACCTAAATGCACACACGCACACACGGCACGTGCACACACGTGCGAACACACACCATAAAATACGGGTGTTGGAGATAGAGCAGGTTGGTAGAGTACTTGCATACAGGAAGTTATGGGTCCCACCCCCTGTACCTTACACCTGAGTGTGGTAGTACATGCTTATAATTTTAGCACTTGGAAGGTGGAGATAAATTCAACGTCGACCGGGCAATGGTGGTGCACACTTTTAATTCCAGCACTCCAGAGGCAGAGACAGGTGGATTCCCGTGACTCCAAAGCCAGCCTGGTCTACACAGGGAGTTCCAGGACAGGCTCCAAAGCTACAGAGAAACCCTGTCTCGAAACACAAAGACAACAAAGAAGTTCAAGGTCATTCTTGGCTACACAGCAAGTTGGAGGCCAACCTGGGCTACATGAGACTCTTAAAAATATGGTCTGGTGAGATGGTTCAGAGGGTAAAGGTGCTTGCTGCAGAAGTTGGGTCCCCAGAACGCACCTGGAGGAGGAGAGAACCATGTCCCGCAGGCTGTCTTCTGACCTCCACACCCACTGCGTGGCAGGTGCATACCTACATAGATACAGAATAAATATATTGAAAACAAAAGGCAAAATATTTTCCCCAATCAACAAAACCCAGCATTGACATGTAAGTGCAAACAAACCTTCATAGTATAGCCATCTTGATTTTAACTTTGCCAGTTGTGTTTTTGTTTTGTTTTTGAGACGGCTCCCTTGTAACCCCGGTGTTTTCCAACTTGCTATGTAGCCCAGGATGACCTTGTACCCCTCAACCTTTGCCCTTGCCTCCCAAGTGTTGGGGTTACAGGCATGTGCCACCACTACCCAGCACTTGATCTTTGGAGACAGTGCCTCGGTGTGTAGGCCGAGCTGGCTTTCCTGCCCATCACATCCTCCATTTTTAGAAACACATGAAAAGACTCTTGGAAAGGTAAGCTGGGTGTGGGGGCAAGCGGTTGGAATTCTAACACTGGAATGTCGAAGACAAAAGGATCAGAAGTTCAAATTCATCCTCGGCTACACAGAAAATGCGGGGACATTTAATCAACCTGATGCAAGGGGAAAAAGAAAATGTGGGGGCAGCCTGGGCTACATGAGACCCTGTCTCAAAAAAATCAAATCAAATAAATATTGAAATTGAAAGATAAGTGAATTGGAAAATCAGTGCAGAAGAAGTAAACCTGATTTTTCAAGTTTATCATATACTGTATATTATTATTAAAGTATATTATTTTTTTAAAAGATTTATTTATTTATTTATTTATTTATTTACAATGTATACAGTGTTCTGCCTGCATATATGCCTGCAGGCCAGAAGAGGGCACTACATCTCATTATAGATGGTTGTGAGCCACCTTGTGGTTGCTAGGAATTGAACTCAGAACCTCTGGAAGAGCAGTCTATTTTATTATATTATTTTATATTTTATTTTGGGGTGTGTGTGTGGGGGGGGGGGGGTCATGCCAGGGTTTCTCTGTGTAGCCCTGGCTGTTCTGGAACTAGATCTGTGGGCCAGGCTGGCCTGGAACTCACAGAGATCCTCCTGCCTCTGCCTCCCGAGTGCTCAGATTAAAGGCGTGCGCCATCACCGCCCTGTGTACACTGTTATTTCACCGGATTCTCAGAACCCAGAGGCGGGACGGGCTGCAGGTCCCCCTAGGCAGACGTGGGTGTGCTGCGTGTGTCACTAGATCTTAAAAGGCTGAATATCACTGGGCATCAGATCAGAAACCGGACGCCTTCACGGGCGTCAGTGGCAAAGAGCGCCTGTGTCATTCGGTCTCTGGCAAACCTCCGAACATGGCCCTCTCCCGGCACAAGCCACGCCCCCGTCTATAGCTCCTCCCCTTCTGATCTAGCACACCCACTCAAGAAAGACCAATCAGAAGAGGCCTTAGGCGGGCGCTACGGCCCAGCGAACCAATAGACAGACAGCAGAAGCCGGGCTTGTCCGGGCAAGCAGCCGGCTCAGCCGGCAGGGTTTCCACGTGTAGGCCGGGAAACGCGGCCCGGTCTTCAGGTGAGCTGGGGGTTGGCCGTGGGGGCTTCTGGGCCGCCGGTTCCTGTCGCCAGTCGCCTGCCGCTCTCAGGGCGGGGCGGAGCGGTCGGTGTGCAGCCAGCAGCCAGGCCGTCGTGCTGCCGGCCTCACGCGATCCCGGCCTGGCTTGGGGGCTGTGGGCCTGCGGAGGGGGCGGTGCTGGCGAGGAGCGTAAACCGGACGGCACAACCGCTGGGGAGCTCGGGGCTCTCCTCGCACTTTTCCTTCCTTTCTTCCTAACTTCCTTCCTTCCTTCCTTCCTTCCTTCCTTCCTTTCTTTTTTTTTTTTTTTTTTTTTTTTTTCTTGATCTGGTAAGCTTTTGGATAGCCCCGGGAACCTTATTGCGCCAGACTTTCCCAAACCGGGGTGATTGATTATCACTATCGTGACTTGAGGATAGGGGCTCGGGTCCTTTGCCTTCTAACTGTTCCAAGCTCGCGGTTAGTGGTTAAGGGACAGTTGACTTCCCTAGGTCATCTGGTTAGTTCGTGCTGGAGCAGGGTCTCTCCCGTCCCCTCTGATAGACACCTGGTCTGCCAGCAGGCATGTGGCCCTTAGACTTTGCAGTTCCTTGGAGTCCTTTTGGACCAGGGACCGTCACCGCAAAGCCGAGTGCCTATCATATTGACTCTTGAGCAGAGTTAAGGTGAGAAAACTTGGTGCGTGCCCTTGCCGACAGAGCTGTGGCCTCTACTTCACTCCAGCTAAATTGAGCTCCATTCAGGGGCTGCCAGCCACTGAAGTGGGTTCCCTTGGTAATTGTTGGTTCCCACATGTCCATAGGGCCAGAGAGGCAGAAGATGACTGCTCTTATCTCTTCAAATACAAGGCCACACAGACGACTTCTCGAGGGACCCTAATTTTAGCTTCTTTCAAACCGTGCCAGCAGGGAAAGTCTGCCCTCCCCCAAAGTCCATGATCAGCAGGGACTTGTAGGCCGGTTTTCCTCCCACTGCTGGGCCAAGGCAAATTGAGATGCAGTTAAGTTTGTGGATAGGAGAGAGTTGCTGACGACCTCTTTTGGAAAGAGGGGGTGCTCTTTCGGAGACTGGAGGAGCAGGCTGAGAGCAGGTGAGTCAGCAAGAGTCACTGAGTCTCCCCCTGGCTAAGTGGGTCAGTACTCCTCTTGCAGATGCTGGCATCAGCAAACAGCGCTTTTGCTTCCTACCCCTGTGCCACTCCTACCCAGGCTGCCAGTCTGACCTCATCCTCCCTCCAGCAAGGTAGCTGTGACGTCCTCTAAAGCCCTCCCGGGACTCCCTCTCCTTGTCTTACTGAACTCTGCCTGTGTCCCTTTCAGTGGCTCACCGTGCCCACCCACCTGTCTCATTTTCCCCTGATACCTCGCTGCTCACAGGCTGCACCCGACTCTTGGCCCTCTCTCCCCTGCTCTTGGCTTTGTGCCTGTCGCTTCTCTTTTCTGAGCAGCCCGTCCCTCCCTGGGCTGCCTGGGAAATCCATCTGCAATCCTGCAGCATCCCCGCTAATTGCCAGGCTCTCCTTAACTCTGTGCTTCTTCCTGTTTGGGTGCCTGCCTAGCTTCTCAGTTTCCCTTCCCGTCAGTCCCTTTGCTCTGTGGTTCCAAGGACGTTGAGCTCTGTGGGACTCCCAGACCAGACACTGGGAGACCCAGCTTGGGCTTCTGAAGAGAGTCTTCTGTCAGAGAGGGGGAGCAGACATAGGAGGGCTCTGCAGCTTGCTGCCATGAGGGAGCTCTGAGGAGGACCACCCGTTGCCTGAGGAGCATAAACCTCAATGTGTCACAGCACACAGGGTGAATTTCTTTGCTCCCCTGATAGACATTTAACATCCTGGGTCAGTGCTACTTGTCCAGTTGTTACTAGTCCAGTGGGTGTCTCCGGCCTCCCTCACCTGACCAACAGATGCTGAGGACACCAGCCTGGGGTGAGGGTGGTTTATGAAAGATCACAAAGGTCAGCGGCAGAAGATGAAGTGGTACAAAGGAAGCTATAATCCATCTTACACTTTATAGTGTGACCTGGTGACCTCAGGTGACCCCTCTGCCCCAGCACCAGGTTACTCCTCTGACAGGCTTTCATCCTTGGTGTCTCCACGGCCCCCTCCCCCTTCTCTGCGGGGTTACTGGTCCCTGTGTACACGGAAGTGACTTCTAGGAACCATCCGCAGGCCCTTCCTTAGTCTTGTTTCACCTTGTGCTTCTAGCCAGCTCTCTGCATCTCTGTGTTTCCAGGCAGACTAGGCTTCTCGGCCCAGGATCCGGCACAGTTGGGACCCCAGAGAACCTCCTGGCGACACTGGGCGATGCAGGGGTTCCAGAGCTGCAGCTGGGTCGGCATGCCTTGGAGGGGTGTCTGTTGCGAGGGGCAGTGAGTCCAGATGGAGGCGGCTCCGACCTAAGAATAGTTGGCTGCCCAATGTGGGACGGAGAATCAGCCTCGCTAGAGAAGGGGGCAGAGAGCTGGCTATGGAGCCTTACTGTGTGTGTGTGTGGGGGGGTGTATGCCAGACCTGGGGGGTGGGGCACAGCAGTTTATAGAGACCTAGGTTAAGCCTTGCTCTGCAAATTTCAGCTTTGGGGATTTCAGATGAGCAATGTTCAGCTGAAATCGGTCACTGCAACCTTTGCTTTCCTGTAACTATCCTCCTAACAGTCTGGTAAACTACCGCTTTTAGAGGCGAGCTTCAGCGTGGACTCTAGATTCCCATCAGCCTTTAACCAAGTTCCTCAACTTCTGGGCCTCATTTCTAGTGTGCAAAATAAGGGCGATGGTACTTGCTGATGTCAGTGGGAGGTGGAATGACTCTGCATGGCATTTGCAGAAGGCATGTATGGTATGTGTGGTGTTCATGTGCAGTTCTTAGTAAAGGTGTCTGAGTTTCCGTCAGGTGCTTGAGCTGCAAATACCACAAGATGAGAGGCAGTGTGGCCTGGCATTCTCCTCCCAGCCCCTCTTCCTATGTGATCTCTCTCCAGCACACTGCCCCGTTGGAAGATAGCCTCCGGGGCTCCTCTTGCTTCTAGCTGTGAACTGCCTGGCATGGTGCTGGGAGAAGCCCCTGAGTCTGCTCAGTGTCCATCCCTCACTGGCCTGAATACCAAGGATGTGGTTCGGAAAAGGCACAAGAGAAGAAGCCGGCAGCACCAGCGGTTCATGGCCCGCAAAGCCTTGCTCCAGGAGCAGGAGCTGTCAAGCATGGCCCCAGGGCCAGGATCCTGCCCTCCGCCCTCCCCATCACAGACACCAGCAGACACAGAGGCTTCGGGCAGCAGGCGGCAGCGTGCCAAGGCCAGGTCTAGCGGTGGTGGCTCAGGCGGCAAAAGGCCTATCCCCAGAGAAGCCCCAGGGCCTGGGCCCAGCAAGTGTGTCGCCGTTGACTGTGAGATGGTGGGGACAGGCCCCCACGGGCGTGTGAGCGAGCTGGCCCGCTGCTCCGTGGTGAGTTACAACGGGGACGTTCTCTACGACAAGTACGTCCGGCCTGAGATGCCCATTGTGGACTACCGCACCCGCTGGAGTGGCATCACCCGCCAGCACATGCGTAAGGCCATCCCCTTCCAGGTGGCCCAGAAAGAGGTGAGGACCAGAATGGCAGGTTGGGGAGAGAAGCCCTGGTTTAAGTCGCCACCTGGGAGTGTGGGGCCTTGAGAAGCCGCCTCAGCAAACACGCAGTTCCTTTTCCAGACACAGGGTTATTAAAATGCAGGTGCTGCCTCTGTAGGCCTGCCCGGCTAGGCGGGGAGCAGCTGGTAGAATGGCTTTGGGAAAGGGAAAGGCCCAACAACTCACAAAATGTTTGGAGGCTGTAAAATTTGCCTACAGTCCGGTCACATTCAAGGGCCGCCGTTTTTGCCCATCTCCTTATGACTTCTCAGTGCTTGGAAAAATGATTACTAGGCAGGGGATCCCACTAGTATACTAGAAATCTGCAAAGGCACGTGACTTCAGGAAACGTTGGAGCCTTGTAAGTAGACTAGGATCCTTGCCCCAGGGTCTTTTATGAAGACTGTTCCCTTCTCTAAGACTCTGACAAGGTTGTCTAAAAATCATAGCTAAGATGGGCGCAGTGACACACACCTTTAATCTCAGCCCTAGGGAGGCAGAGGCAGGCTGGTCTCTGTGAGTTCAAGGCCAGCCTTGGTGTCCAAAGTTCGAGGAACAGCTAGGGCTACACAGAGAAATTCTGTCTTAAAAAAAACAAAAACACAAAAATTTATGCTAAGCAAGCTTGCCCCATAAGTAAGCCACAGGGTTAATTAATCAACAGAACCATGCCTGGTACTGGTAAAATTAGTATCAGAGGTTGCAGGCTCTGTCTTCAGGACACTGCTCCCTTACTCATCTGGATATTGACTCCAGACCCTCCATACTGTCCTATGTCATGGAAATGCTAGTCAGGCATAATACTGAATTTAAGTGTGTGTGCGTGCTTGTGTGTGTATGTGTGTGTGTGTGTTTATAAGGATTATAATATGCCATATTATAATTATTAATACGATATATATTATGTAATATATACTAAACATTAATTATTTGATAAGTATAATATTAATGGTTGATGTAATTATATGCAAATATATTATAAATAATACATATATTAATGTATAATGTATTAAAGATATATTTATAAGGCACAATGCTCAGACTTGGTGCTGCCACAGAAACAAAGAGAGACCTAATTAAAATGGCACTGCAGCTTTGCCTATGGTTAGAAAATAAAGGGGACACCAGTAATGCCCGTGACTGGGAAAGGCCTGAAGCTTGCTTGTGGCAGCAAGGGCAGGAGGAGGCTGGGGCTGTGGGACGTGGGGGTGGAGGTCCTGAGCCTGACACTCTAGACTGCTGTGGCTCAGCACCAGGCAAACAGACAATTGCTGGCAGATGTTTGAGATCTGTAGTGCTGTGTGCTCTTGGTTCTACTCAGCTGGCAGCAGCTTTCTGCATTCATGTAGTGTTTCTTCAGGGGTAAAATTATGGAGAAACAAAAGTGAAATTCATACCCTCGAGTAGTACCCTGTCACAGTTGTATTAGAACAAATACATTTTCAAAGCAAGCATTAGAACAGAACTACTTTTTATTGGGATTAGGATGGTTCGGGAAATACTGATAAACCTCATCTCGTGACCTTTGTCACAGTGTGCTGACTACTTTTGTTAGCTTGACATAAGCAAAGTCATTTGGGAAGCATGACCTGAAATTGAGAAAATGCCCCCATCAGATTGGCCTGTGAGCAAGCCTGTGCTATGTTTTCTTGATTGTTAATTGGTGTGGGAGGGCCCAGCCCACTGTGGGCAGTGCTACCCTTGGGCTTGTGGTCCTGGGTGTATAAGACAGCAAGCTGAATAAACCAGTAAGCAGCACAACTCTGCAGCAGTTCCTGCCTCCAGGTTCCTGCCGTTGAGTTCCTGTCCTGACCTCCCTCAGTGATGGACTGCGGCATGGAGCTGAAAGATGAAATAAACCCTTTCCTTCCCGAGTTGTTGTGGTGTTTTATCACAGCAATAGAAACCCTAAGTTAGATACGTTCCATGATGCCCTAAGCGTTGCTTTGGAAAGACTTGATCATGAATAGAAGCAGTAGGAACGTAAGTCCATGTGAGCCCTCCATCCCTGATCCCTGCCGTCCAGGTTTGTAGTTGGTGGTGATCCCCAGATCCATTTGGGATAGGTTTGATCTCTGTCCCACTTGATGAGACTGGGGGTGATCCCAACCAAAAACTTAAATGTTTCTTACTCATCTGCCACAAAAACTGGGTCCCATGCTAACAGGGGTGAGCTGTGGAAGGCTAACAGCTGGTGATAGGAGTTAGCAGGCCTGTAGCCCTGTTTCCCTGAGCGTGAGGAAGGTGCTGGGCAGGGAGGAACAGGATGTGCCCAGACAGAGCTGCAGAGCAGGTTTAGAGGGTACGGAGGAGGAGCCAGTGCCCACAGGAACAAGGACATGGGCTTCTGCTTCACTGTGTTATCTACCAGTGCTGGGCACGGTTCTGTTGGTTTCATTCAACAGGTCTTTATTCAGGAAATAAGTTGGCTAGGAGGACTGATGTTGTAGCTTGAACTGCAGAGTGAGAGCCTTGTCTCCAAAGGACCGGCCCAACCAACAGAAGCAAATCAGTAAATGCTGTGCTCCGGTGAGCAGCACTGGTCAAGTCAAATGGAGCCAACTGCAGGGGCAGATGGGGAGGGGGACCCAGACTAGATCATACCAAGGGCTAACTGTAAAAGCCAGATCCGTACTTAGAAAGTGTAGATAGCTTAAAAGAAGGACCAGGGCTCCTAGGTAGATGAGAATCATGGGAGCCCCTCCAAGGAAGACTGATGAGCTTCTGAGGGGGTGAGAAGACCTTGCAGCCAGGAAGCGCCTGTGCCAGTTTAAGCTGCTGGGGTCTCTCAACTTGAAGGCTGGCTCACATCCATGGCTTCCTTTGACCCTCAAAACTGTCCCCTGGAATGCTGGGATAGTATCCCTTTTGCAGGTGCTAAGGTACATTGGTATTCAAACTTGGGTCATCACGGTCCACTGGGGCGCCTAGACTTCTCCCCTCCCCCACTGCTGCCTCCCTCTAGAGTGGCCCATGCCCAGTGCCACGGGAGCTCAGGCGTGTCTCCTTCCTGACAAGGGCCTTCCTGCTTCCTCTCACAGATCCTCAAGCTCTTGAAGGGCAAGGTGGTGGTGGGGCACGCGCTGCACAATGACTTCCAAGCCCTCAAGTACGTTCATCCTCGGAGCCAGACCCGGGATACCACGTACGTCCCAAACCTGCTCAGTCACCCCGGCTCCCACACCCGAGCTCGGGTCTCCCTTAAGGACCTGGCCCTGCACCTGCTCCACAAGAAGATCCAGGTATGTGGTGCCGAATCTCCTGGGAGAGGAGGAGGCTCATCTGACTGCCATAGCTGCTAAAGTGGGGATGGGATTGTGGACTGTCGCTCACATACAAGCCACACTGGTGTAGCCCCTTCCTTTCCTGTGTGAATTCCCTAGTGATCGTCAGGTTTTTCTAGGCTCATCTCTCTAAGTCTTAGCCCACCTGACTCCTGGCTAGCCTGTATCCCCATAGGATGTGTTCTGACTCGCACTTAGCTCAAGGGGCCTGGGACTCTGTTGTGTTTTGATATCCATCTTCTAACTTAATGAGCAGGATTTTTTTTTTTAATGTGTATTGGTATTTGGCCTGCATGTGACTCTCTATGCCCCACACACGTGGCTTGCTTTTGGGGGTTAGAAGAGAGCATCAGATCCTCTGCGACTGGAGTTATCAACAGTTGTGAGCTGCCATATAGGTGCTAGGAATTGGGCCTCGGTTCTAGGGATGAGCAGCCAACCCCAACATAAAAAGAGGGTTATTTTGGTTCATGGTTTACCCGGGTCCACGTGCTAAGGCAGAACCTCATGGTGGTGGGAGCATGTGCGGTTATATACCCCACAGTGACTAGCAAACAGAGGAATAGGGACCGAATACTCCCACGGTCGTTCTCCGGTGATCTGTTTCCTTAAGCCAAGACCCACCTCAGAGTTTCTAATGTCTTTCAGAATAGAACTGTCAGCTGGGGAACACGCCCACAACACAGGAGCCTTTGGGATATAGTTCGTTTCTAAATCGTAATAGCTTCCATTCTGGGATATGTGTTCTTGACCCTTCGAAGCTGGCTTCGCTTCTGCATTGGTGGTCAGGCCCACTTCAGCACCTAGTGATGCCTTCTGCTCCTGTCCACAGGTGGGACATCAGGGACACTCGTCTGTGGAAGATGCCATGACAGCCATGGAGCTCTACAAGCTGGTAGAGGTGCAGTGGGAACAGCAAGAGGCCGACAATGCCAAGGCCCACCCCGAGGACAGGGCACCCGACAGCAGCACTGACGTGGAGCAATACATGGAGGACCAGTACTGGCCTGATGAGCTGGCCCCGAGCACCAGTGGAGACATAAGGGAGGCCCAGGCTGGCAGGGAGTGAGAGGAAGGAGCCTGCGGGTGGCAGATGGGGCAGGAAGCCAGGAGTGGTCTCTCTAGGCAGACCTGGGGGACGGGGTCAGGGCACTCACCTGTCCACGTGCAGGCTCACAGCACCTCGTGTCTAAGGGATGCTTTTCTTCAATCCTGTGGTTTTGCAAAGGACACTAGCGTCGTGCCCAGGAGGTACAGAGAAAGTGCCACAGGACTGTCCAAGGCTGTCCCTGGCTCCCTGAGCCAAGTCTTCTGGGCTCACTGCTCTGCTGCTCTGGGATAAAGCATCTCCCTGGGGGTGCTGGGTGCTGTGGGTGGCAGGGTGAAGTTCTGCTGCTGTTGCCACCTCTCCCCTGCAGATACATTCAGGATCACAGTAACTTAAATTGTTAAGAAAGCCCTTTAAAGAAGACACTGTTCCCTGTCCCTTACTTTCTTAGATGTCTTATGTCCTAAGGGTAACTTTAGGAGTCTAATAAACAAGGGTTCCGATCACACCGTTCCCTGACAAAGCCTCATCGTTAGGCAAGCCTGTGGCTTCCCCGTTGAGCCTGTTTCCCCCCCATAAAGTGGAGGAGAGCGTTAGAACCTACCTCGTGGGTATTGAGGTGCTTCGTGTGCATCCTCGTGATGAAAGAGAATGGTCTCTATTCCAGCCACCGCCTGACTTCCTAGCTGCTGTGGCCCAGGCAGGATTCTGGCTTGGCTTTTCCAGCAGGTGAGGTGGAGCCAGGGCCTGGCTCTGCAGGAGAGTTCAGAGTTGTCTGCAGGTCTTGCTTCATAGCAGCATCCTACCCGCTGTGGTATTTGGGAAAGTGACAACAGTCACCCAGACAGGGTCAGAAGGGAAGGGACACTACTGAGACCACATTTGACTGCTGTCAGCCAAGGCCCTGATTGCACAAAACCTTAGTCATGGATTGTTTGCTGGCCGGCTCCTCCCTGCCAGGGGAAGAGGGAGCTGACCGAATCATCACCACTTCTGTCTGGCCTGGCGCCAGGGGCAAGCTCTGGTTTCCTTAAAAAGCAGCAACTTGTGCCAACCTCGCTGCTGGGTGAATCTTGATGGCTTCATTTGCGGGTTGAAGGGTGGTGGGATTGATAGCCTGTGTACCGGGAGAAGCCTTGCTCATGTAGGATCTTTAATGCGGGAATAAAGTTCGATTGGACAAGTGGCTGAACTGTCCTCTCTAAGAGTCAGGCTGGGCTGAAGGGGGGTTGGCTGAGGGGTGGGGAGGGTTAGAGCACCAAGTTTTGCGGGGTGCCCGTCTTAAGGTGGCGTCTTTCAGGAGGGTACACGTTAGATCTAAAACAGCTTCCGGCTTCCTTTTGGAGTTGCCCTGTTACACAGCACATGATCTAATTTGATCTCTCCCCAAAGCTATGTTCTCACATTAAAAATTGGGGAATTTTTGTTTGCTGTTGGAAAAGGATCTCCTGATGGAGCCCACGCTGCCTATGACTCCATGCGGAGCTCAGGCAGTCCTCCAGCCTCAGCCCATGCAGTCAGTGCTGGCGCTGTAAGCAAGAGTTGCCATTCCTGCTGGACTTGGCCCTTTAGGAGTAAGATTTCTTTGTGTGTGTATAATATAAAGTCCACCTGGCCCTGCACATTTGCGCAGTCATTTCCCCCTTGGCCAGCGCGAATAAAGCAGCTGTAAGCATGACATACAGACATCACTCATATCCTGCTTTCAAATATTTGGATAGATTCCCAGTAAGGGAACTGCTGGGTCATGTGGTAATTCTCTGTTTAGTTGTGTGGGCAGCTCACTCTTCGCAGCAGCTGCAGCGTTTATATTCCCAACGACAGCTCACAAGAGCTTCAATTGAATTGAAGAAGGGTCTCACCGTATGACCGAGGTGGACTTGGAGCTTGTGGAGACCCTCTTGCCTCCACCTCGAATCAAGACAGTTGAGCTTATTAGGGCAGGCTGCCTCTGATGCAATCAATTGTCTTAGCCTGTTTTGTAGTATATAATAAAAGACCTGAGGCTGGGACTTGGTGAAGACTTAAATAAAGGGTTGGGGTGCAGGGCTCTGCTGATGGCCCTGTGGTAGATGACGTGATCGTGGAAGCACACGTGGAAAGGACCCCACGGTGAGACAGGAGGTGGGAGAGGGCTTGCTCACACAGTGAAACCACTCTAAGCCCACGTGTACCATGGCAAATACAGTTCACGAAGGCCTAGAACTCCCAAGAGACTATTAATCCGTTGGTGAAGATGGCGTGTGTGTGTGTGTGTGTGTGTGTGTGTGTGTGTGTGTGTGTGTTGTGCACCATCACTTTCCTCCTGCCTCTTCGTGACTCACTGCGGGAAAGTAGCTCTCCAGGATGCTGAGCAGGTAGGTGGTGTGGAGCCTAGTTCCTTAAGCAAAACAGATGAGCTGCACCTGCCTACGGGTTACGCTTCTTGACGATTGATACTCCCTCGGGGAGGGGCTAGAGGGAGTCTCGGGACCCACAGCTGAGATTTCAGCTGCTCCCCCAACCATCAGTATGCACTTCCGCCCTAATCCCATGGGGCCTGGGGTACTGGGCAGTGGTAAAGTACTCTGAGCTGGGGAAGACTGCAGTGCCAGCGATGCAGCGACAGGAAACCATCGTCCATACAGGGTGAAGCCTTAACCAATGTGTTTTGATGTCCTCCCAGGCTCCTGTGAGTAGCCTCTCGCCCTTGCTCCCTAAGTAAGCCCCATGAATTCAACAGTTTCCCGAGACTGTGCCTTGATGGAATTGTTCTTTGACTTGTTGGGGCCTTTCAAAGGGGAAGTAGTAGACACTGTTTTCCCGAAAAGCAGTTTTTGAAAGGGCAGCAAATGCCAGACCCTGAGATATGAGCATGCCGGAAAGTACCCTCATAGTCCTGCCATGGGGCTCCCACCTAGAGTGAGTCTGCCAGCCCAATGTTTCTCAGCCTGTGGGTCGCAACCCCTTTTGGGGTCCAATGACCCTTTCGCGGGAGTCACAGATAGCTGGCATATCAGATAGTTACATTACAGTTCTTAACAGTAGCAAAATTACAGCTATGGAGTAGTGACAAAAATAATATTCTGGTTGGGGGGTCACCACAGCATGAGGAATTTCATTAAGGGTCGCAGCATTAGGAAAGCTGAGACAATAAAGTCTAATCACTGGTGCTGGCACTGGGGAGACAGTTGGTGGTGTCTGAAGGAAGCGTGTGAGACCTGTGGGCCTGGGAAGAGTGGCTGCACGAAGCTCAGGTTTAAACTAGAAGAGGCCATGGTTCGGAGGGTACGAAAGACTGGAAGGGGCAGTGGGACAGATGGACAGACGCCTGACAGATGAACAAATGGGAGATTTGTTCTAAGGCAGGGTCCAGATTGGTCTTGAACTTGCTCTGTAATTGAGGATGACTTTGAATTCCTGATCTCCCTACGCCTGTCTGCCAAGTGTTGGGATTACATGCGATACCCCTACACCTGGCCAATGCTGAACATCGAACCCAGGGCCTGTTGTGTGCTAAGCACACACTCTACCACACTGAACTACACTCCCGACTCCAGCATTTGACTTTTGAAGTCTGTTAAAGTCGGACATCTAGCTTGGCAAAGAAACCACAGATCTGGGCAAGTTCCTTTTCAAACCGCAAATCTTCGTGGCATCGTATCAGGCTGAGGGCTGTTACTGTATGTAGATCTGGGCAGGGAGGCCGCCAGGCTTCTCCTTTATTGGACTGTCACCCCAGCGCACAGTGGAAGAATGCCCAGTCTGGTTTTGATCCAGGTGTACCTCGTTTGTTTATGAAACGAATACTGGGCATTCCCTTCATGACAGGTACAGGCAGAGAGCTCAGTAAAGAAGCCGCTGAAGCAGGGGTTTTTATTGTAGCTATGAGACAACAGCCAGAGGCGTCCAGAAGCATCCAGAGAAGAGAAGAAGAAAAAAAAAAAGCAGACGGGCCAGGGCCAAGAGAAGAGAATAAGGCAGGAGAATTGGGGGAGTGGGGAGCTGGGGCAGCCTGGGAACTAGCATAGTGGAGAGGTGGGGGAGGTAAGAAAGGCCAGAAGGCTGGCATGGTCTTTACAATGCTGCGTGCATGGCAGGTACATTTGAATAGGTACGGAAGGAGTCTGGGTATGTAGCCGCCGTCATAGGCTGTGCTATGTAACCCCCAGGTGTGTTCTGGCAGGCAGAAACCTAACAGGTTTCTGAGGAACGCTACGTGTGAACTTTGGTCTATACACCAGAAATCCTATAGTTCAGCTTGAGCTGAGCCTAGGCGGTCACCATGCACAACGTCAGTGAGCCTGCCCCTTTTGGGGCTTCTTGGAATTTCTCTCTTTGGACCTAATAATAGGGACCACTCTTAAGAATTCTAAGTTCCAGTCCTATAGCCCATAGCCCGGCTTGAGGTCCTGTCAAGGTCTGCCATTGTTTGTCAAATTATCCCAGGTAAAGACTGGGCCCTACTGACCTGAGGGCACTACTGACTGAGGCACTACTGACCTGGTAGAAGTCACCAATGGTACCCCCGGCCACGCCCACAGCCTCCATTGCCTTCTCTGGGGCAGAGGCCAGGGACCTGCCCCCTCCTATCCAACCACTCTCCTACCCTTCCCAGTTAATAACCCACTGTTTCAGAACGGCTTGCTCTGCCCTCAGAAGACCTCAACAGGTTATCCCGCTGACAGCAGATCCCAGAAGTTGTAGGACATTCCTCGGGCTCCCATCCCGGGGATGTTTATTCTCTGGGTGGAGGGTGACAAAGAAAGATGTTGCAATCCACTCCATCCACGTCAGACACAGACACGTCATCTGAAAGGGAGGAGGGCAGGGCCAGAGGAGGGACACCCTGAGGCAACCCAGCCCTGAACTTAGCCTGCTGGCTGGCCCCCCACCTGCTTAGCCTGAGGAGATGGAGCAGCCCAGCCTATGCGACCTGCCCTCCCTCCCCGACTTCCCTTGATAACAAAGCAGAAACTGAAACTAAAACAGGCTCAAGTTAGAGATGAGTCACTTCCCAAAGTAACTGCGGTAACCGAGCGGTGACAACAGAAAGGCAGAAGAGAACCCAGGACACGGGAGCAAACAGGTGAGACCAGGAGTCACACAGCAGCCCAGCCTGGGAAACTGACGGGGGTAGGGGTGGCTGCTTGTTGGTGGGACAGCCAGACAGGACCAGCAGAGTCTGGGACCTAAGCACCGAGAAGCTGAAGGGTGATACGAGGCCAGCGTCCCCTGTTGCCAGGTGCCATTGGGGACAGAGGATAGGGCTGAGGGTGTAGTCTGGCAGGGTGGTGGCCCAGGATGCCTGGAGGCCTGTGGGTACTTGAATGACACCCTGGTTCCCAACCCCCATCCTCCAGGACTTTCTGAGGGTCGCCAAGGAACATGGCAGGCAGCCCAGAGGTGGTGGCCATGGATTGCGAGATGGTGGGCGTAGGGCCCCTAATGGTGAGTGGCCTGGCCCGCTGCAGCATCGTGAACCTCCATGGCATGGTTCTGTACGACAAATACATCCGGCCAGAGGGCGAGATCACCGATTACAGAACCAGAGTCAGCGGGATCACACCTCATCACATGATGAGGGCTACACCTTTTGGTGAAGCCAAGCAAGAGGTAAGTGAAGGACCAGGAGTCAAGCCAACAGGAGTTGCAGGGACCCTGTCCTTCCTCCTCAGCGCCTTCCCTAGGGTCTGTGGTCTGTGACTCCACCATAACAAATTCCTCACATTTCTGAGAAATGAACCCTGGGCCTTGTTATCACAGCTCCCAATGAGAGGACCTTAGGCTCCCATCTGGGGCTGCTTCCAGAGCATCTATATGGTCTAATTTTCGGCTCTTGTGATGGGGAAGTTGAATTCCAGCTGATGTCTCTCTCTCTCTCTTAGACCACACTGCCCTGGTGAGCCTGGGAAATGAGGCTCCGAGGCCGAGCAGGCTTGAGTTCAGAGGCCAGAGATTCCTGGACTGGAGGTCTTGTTCCCTAACCAAATGCTCTGGGCTGTAGCAGGCTCCCTCTTGAGCTTGAAGACCAAGGTTTTTACCCTTTAGCCTGTGGCCACGTCTCCCAGATACTTTCTGTTTCTTTGTATGACTGAAGGGAAATAAAAACTCAAGTGGAAATTTCCCCAGGGTTCATCACCTCTGGGCAGGTTCAGCAGGAGCTTGGGGAAGTTCAAGATCACAGGAACTGTGGTTGGTCTCCAC